GCGCCCCTTTCATGAGGACAATATATGACTGATCGTAGGCTCGCTTTATGACTACAGTCTGACGCCGATTAATCGACTCAAAGGGAAACTGTCGGACTATTCCGAACATTATATTAATATCACCATGACCATTATCAGGACCTACGATACGCTCGGGTTTGTTCCCGAAAATTAGCTTATCATCCACAACTTGACCCTTTTTAAATCGCCATTGACAATGCTCGAACAGTTTCATGTCGATACTTTCGCCCTCGATGTCACCTTGCTCATTCTGGCTCAACGAGTGGCAACAGCCCAGCGATAGTAGCAGTTTATTATCGGTGGAAAGAGTGGTGACGTCCCGAATGGGTTCGCCGAATGACTGGTCGTCGACCGGCAATACGCCCGACAACTCGATGGAGTCGTCGGTCAGTGTCCCGGTCTTATCGAAACACACGACGTCTACCGAACCGCAACTGTTTATTGCGTTTGGGTCGAGACAGTAGACACCCTTCCGGCGCAGTCGACGCTGCGAGTGGGCGTTTATACTCGTGATGACCGCCGGGAGTAGTGGTGGCACCAGGAATGTGGCCACGTCCAATACTATTATGGCTATGTCCCAGATGTTTGTCTGTAATAAATTTTAATGTGTTTTATTAATATTTTTAATGATCTATTAAACCTACAACATTCTTTAGATAAATAATTACTTTACTCTATAAGTAGCTAAGCTATGGCTAAATAAGCTATTTATAACCAATTACCTTATAATTTGCGAACCGGTAGGCGGTGTACGCCATGCAAGGTATACCAAGCATAAAAAATATGGCCATACATTTGATTAGATCTCGTTTCAATTGTAGGTGTGTAGGCTTTGGAAATAAAATGCTCCGGACTAATTTCCCTTTTGTTGTAAAAAATCCTAATGTAATAAATTAAAAAATTAAATGAATTATTAAAGTATTACATTGCATTCATAAGATTGTATAATATTTAACATTTATAAACTTAAAACCTACCTGTCCTGACGACTATAGCCTTAACATAGTTGTGATCACCGGACAGTACGTTCAACACCCGGGTGCCGGCATATAACGTGTTAATACTATGCGTTTTCGGTAAATAAAGGGTGTTTTGGTCGTCAGTGAGCGCCACCTTAGATATGGGAACGGATTCGCCGGTCAAAGAGCTCTCGTCCACAATACAGGTGCCGCTCATTAGGACGGCGTCGCACTCCATGGCCAACCGGTGGCTATCGGCCGATAGGGTGATCACATCGCCCGGCACTAAATACCTGGATGCTAACTTGACCACGTGCTCGTCCCGGATCACACTTATCTCGGACTCCGAGTGCACTTTGTTATACAATGCCGTTAATTGCTAGATAATAATTTGAGATTTTATTTTAGGCAGCATTAATTATTTTAATGTTATTTTTAATTATTATTTGTGACCTTAGAATCTAAGGCTTAGATCAAATAACAGGTGTAATAAACTATTATATAAAAGTGCTAAATGTTCCTAATATCTAAATGTTGATTTTTATTTTAGACAAGGTTAGAAAATACTGTATTAAAAATTAAAATTATATTTACCGTATGATTTTTAACATAATAATAAAATATTTTTGAAATGCTTTATATCTGTCATTAAATGGGCTATTTTTAGAAAATTATAAAAATATAATTTTATATTTAATACCTTTCGTGTTTGCCAAACGTGTAAAGAGACCTGGTCATAAATGTACAAAGTTTTTAGTTTTTAGGCAGAGATAATAAAATGAAAACATGTTGTTTACCGAAAACATGGATAAAATGAGAACACATATCGAGAATTGATAGTATAATTGAATCATCCAGATAGTAAATATGAACATTTGGTAGATATAAAAAGGTTCTGTGATCTAAAATAAAAAATTATTAGTCTACTGATTTTTTTACCAAGGTATTTATAGTATTAGGATCGCATACTTCGTCTATAATTAATCTCCAAATTGGCTTAATTTCGACTAAAACTGTATTCAAACCATACAATTGCGAGCGAAGTAGCGCCTCGTTTGTAGTCAAGCCCTCAATCATTGAATAAATGACTCCACATTTGTATGACTCTAAACCTCTAATCAAAAAAGTTTGGCATTTATTAGTTTTAATTAGTAAATGAAAAAATAATATTAACAATAAATATTTATAAATTATAGTTATATAATGTGTATTTGTGTGTTTTATAAAAATAATTCTTAATAATTAAATACTTTATCAAAATATTATTAAACTGGAACAATTTTTGTGAATAAAAGTTTGATGCTCATATTTGCTACACTTTATAGCATATTACATGAACCTGATACTGTAAATACGGTTTAATAATCTAGGTATTGACTACAGACTCACTTGAGTTTCATGAATTGATTCATCTCTGCCCTCCAAATGTATTTAATTTTTTGGTGAAAAAAGTGGACACAATTCCCGGTGTTTGTGAGTCCGGGAACCGCTTTCACCACACTCTCCACGTACTCCCTATCGAAACAATCCTTTCATTTCATAAACAATTTAATTTAAAAATTATTAATATTTTTAAGCATTAAATAAGTTATGAATACTTTTATGATAACGGCGCTCGCCTGGTCTAGCGAGCACTTGGAATGGGTAATCCTGACCCGCCTGGGTGATTTCCAACCAATCAAAATTAAAATAAAACCACATGTTATGATGACCAGGATTATGAACAATATGAACCGTAAATGGGACCGCATATAACTAGAATGTTTTAAAAATAAATATAAATATTTAGTTAATGAAAAGTTTTGGAAACTTTGTGAATAAGTCTACAGTATAGGTGTATACAGTAATTAATATTGTATACAATAATAAAAATTATTATTTTAAAAATCGTGTTTATCATTAAGTTTAATAACAGACATACCCATCAATTATGAGGTGATCGTCATCGGCGGTGTTAATCCGTTCATAAATCTCTTTGGATT